TAGTGTCGGGCGCCGGTAAGCGTGTACATAAAATATATTGACATTGGTTCATCAATAATGATTCGTGGTAGGTAATCATGAAAATAATTCATGAATAGAAAGTTTACCGGTTGAAGGGATGACGAAGTCGATTCTGGATATATACAATTCTCGTTTCTATGGGTGTATTGTCAACAACAATGCATAATAATCATTCTCTTACACATTTTGCTGGATTATTTTGGACTTTGTAGACTTTGTAGTATAAACGAATCTTCTAGAACTATGTATCCGCTATTCAGTAAATATTGTTCACTGAAGTCTTTCTTCTTTTTATGACATAATGGGAACATTTGAGTCTATAAAAAGGTAAACATGTGCTACTAAATGAGTTGCGTGTTGTGTTATTTGAAAATCATGTAACTTGGTTTGACATTTCGGTTTCCAAGGGAATCAATCAACTGTTCATTGTTTTAAAATAAAAGACATTTAGCGAAGAGGCAATCCATTTCAGCGACATCATTATCAAGCTGTATGATTGCTCATGAAAACTTTTTTTACTTGTTGAGACAAAAGAAATGTTTTAGTTATAGTAAAGATAGATAGTGGCTAGCAGTGGAATCTAGGATGTGCATTTCGTCCTATTTGGGACTCGTCATCTGGATGTACCTGTGTCTCAGTGAGTGATATTGTTCCCAACGAGGTTAGAACGCAGTGCGGTTCGCTTCAAACGCTAGAGTATTATCCACTAGGCCACTGGGTCACGATAGCCACCTCTTATGCAACAGGTTTCAGTTGTTATAATGGTACTTGTAATTTCCCGTTGCTGTACAAGTCCGAATTGCTCAACGTCTGTTGGCAGATGGGCTCCTATGCGGATGCCTCGATACTACGGGATATTCATGATGTTGGTGACTAGCAGAGGAATGCAGGACGTGCGTTTTGTCTCGTTTGGGACTCGTCAACTGAACGTACCTGGACCCCAGCGCCGAGTAATGTTGTTCCCACTGTGGCTCAAACTCAGTACCCTTCGCTTCAAACACTAGAGCGTTATCCGCTAAGCCACTGGGGCACGATAGCTACCTCTTATGGAACGGATATAGTTTTATAACTTACAAAAATGTAAAATATCCTCGGTGTCGACTACTTGAGATATTTTTCATTCAAATCTCAATCATAGTTCATATGGAAATAGAGAAAGTTTATATAAAAGATGGATGGGAAAAGATCAGAGGATTTATGTTACCTAAGACAATGATATGAAATGGGATAACAATAAACGTGTAAGTCGATAATGATACGTAGAAAAAATGATAACTATCAACGACAAAAAAGTTAACTTTTTATTATGGTAGGTTTGATTGCTATCGCCTAAATGAGGTACAACAAACTTAGTGTATAATGAAATCAAACTACAAGGATCTCGTCTAACCGTTTTTATATGACTTGGGAAAGGTATGTAGACTGGTATCGCGATGAGATTCACATTGTTTACAGTTAACCCAGCCTTCTAAAACTGACTGGTTGGTTAGCAGCAGAGCGATTATGTGTCCATTGATTAGCAGTCAACTGCATAAAGCACTTGATCATAGCTTGTATGAAAGTTGGGACATACAGTCCCTTGGATCCCCCATACTAGGCGACCTTGAAGGTATAAGCATACAGTCTATGAAACAACGTTCTACAGTAGGTATCTTGTTAATACGTGAAATATGTCTCATATGTACTTAGTCTACTCTACAAAACACCAAAAAATAAAATTTACAACGGAATATGAACAGTATGAGAAGTTTCACTCCTTTGAACTCACAATTCGCCAAACCACAAATGATAATATACTAAGATGCATCCATCAGTAAGAATGTATCTTGACTTCAACAGTTATTAATAGTTACCTGTGCGATTGAGGATATTAACCTAAATTAATTAGTATAGAAAAACGTCAGGCTTCAGTTTATGGATAACCAAGGCCTCTGCTGTTCTCAGAAGTTGAAGACTAAGTAAACGTGAAATCTTTGACCGAATACGATAAACAACCTTATTATCATTTTTCAGTTTGATTGAATAGTCGGAACCGATTGAATGTTCAAGAATATGACTTCTAATTCAGTTTCATTCACTCTTACAAAACGGCCCTGTATTATGTTCGTGTATAATTGTTGACAGCAATTTCTGCCTACGACTGATGTATATTGCTTCATTGGAGGATGTGAACTGGTGGATACACATGGAGGTGGTCTGTTGAGGGATATTGTCTTTTGTATATATGGAGAAAAATTCCCGGTTAGTACAGATAAAATGAAGCTTGGCCGCGTTCAAGATACCTGGAAGTCGCATCCTGATCTGTTGTGTTTTACTACTTTCACCTTTAGGCTTATCAAACTTGATCTAATCAGAAAGATTGACAGCATTTTGTCGACATATTCCCAGCTAATTCGTCAACAAAATATCCTCTCCTTTATCAGGGCGACTTAGGATTATGTTCTTATTGTCACTAAGCAACTTGGGTTGTTCCATGTGATTCTACGTCAGTAAATGATTAGTACTAGCTAGTGAATTAGTGATCAGACTAAATATAATAGGCTTAAAGTTGAAAGGAATTAAACACAACAAATTGAGATCGAAATTCCAGGCATCTTGAAGAAAATGAATAAACTCATTCGACTCATTCATTCAGTAATTCCACATCTGTATGGGTTAACGTATATTTATAATTATCACTTTGACTCTCTGAGATAGCAGCCGTAGATTAGCTGACTTGTTTTCATACTAGGTGATAATTGTAGGGGAAGTGAAAGCCTAGGCTACGACAGAATTGGAGCCAGCGATCACTGAGTTTCGGGTCCAATGTTCTACCAACTGAGCTGCGTGACCCTGCTACTGACCAAATGTTTATTTGACCTTCAATCGCCAATAAAGCAGGATTACTTCATCGTGCAATTTTGGATATATCAGATTCTCCTTATTATTGTGTCGCCAAGTGTCTGGCTGGGATACTTCGAACCAGTCATGATACATGATACGTTTTTGTTTGTCAATAGCATTAAGGATGCTGACAACACCGGTAAAGTCATGCTTTCCTTAGATATTGCCTCATTGTTCATCAGTGTACCAGCCACTGAAACTTTCTGTTAGGTATACAACTGTATCGATTCACATAATGTAGTAATAGTACTCCAGACAAATTGCCCGATAGAGCTTTCTATGAGATGCATGTTTGATGTGCAGTTTAGTTTCAACGATGAGGTATACCGGGAAAATGATGGGATTCTCATTGTAACCTCTAGTGGCGGGATTGATTTATGTCAAAATTGTAAAATTCTAACCCTAACTAAACTACTGATCATTTTGACGTTTATGCATGGATGATATATTTGTTGTTTGTAATGTGCACATCGATCTGTATAACATCTTAAACGCGTTCAACAAGTGTCATTCATCGTTGTAATTCAACCTATAGAAGGAATTGGAATCAACTATTATTCCTTTTCTTGACGTGCTACTTACGAAACGCAGCAATGGAACAAAACTAAGGTTTATCTACAGGAAACCTACATAAAAAAACACATAAAAAGAGCACTCACTCACCTTGTGTACATCCATACAGTAGTAGGCAATGAGCTACTCCTATTGTTTCAGGGCTAGTGATACGGCCTGGTTACCCAAACCTCGATAGTTGCAGCAAGGCTCAAAATCACTAGTCAATGGTTATTATTCTTCTTCCTAAACCACTGAGCCATAGACATTATTTATTTCTACAGTCGAGTGCCGATCATGAGGAAAAAAAAATCCTCTTTCACTCACTCTGCTATCGAATAAGAAAAAAAATATTTGTTGGCACAGATTGTGTGCAAATTGAACTTGATTTCTTAAGAAGTACGAACTGTCTTTGTTGTCTCTGATGAACGATTTAATGATCTTACACAACCCCATTTTGTTATCATTCAATGTTTACATCATCAACTAGCAATATTATTATAACTATAACCAAACAATCACTCATTATTTTGAGTACTAGTGGGGATGTGAGCAATCACTAGGAGGCAGGTACATCCATCTGACGCTTCTTAGATAGCATTGAACGCACATCCTGGATTCCACTGCTAGCCGCTTTGCATCTTTACATCAAACTAAGGATGTTACCAATATCGAGACTTTCACGTAGGAGCTCATGTGCCAGTAGTGGTCAGTGAATTCGATCGAATCACTGACAAAAAATTGCAGGCTATCTTTCTCTACAGACTTCAGTCTCTAAATATCTAAAGTATGTATACAATATATATATGTACACGAATGTGTACTGCTGGAGAATAAATTCGTTGGAAAGAGGACCTCTTCGTTGAATATCTTGTTTTTCAGAATTATGAATTTATCATATGAATTGTCTTGAAACAGAGAATTATGAAATTGAACCAATGACTTAGGAAAGCAACTGGAGTAAGTGGTGATCATCAATCGTATTAGTGAAGGAAAATAAGGTCATCTTTCTCAGGAAAAAAATTGCTTAAGTAGATAAAAAAACGTGCTGAAATGGAGAAAATATTTTTGCGAGATATTTCCCACAAACATATCTAATGTTGGATTTGTTTATTTAATGTTAAGTTGAACCCGGTGTGATGTTGGTATTATTCTAAAGAACCTGTTGATCGATTGTATTTTGTTGTTAGAGCAGATCGGTAACTTTCATTGTCATATATATCTGTGATAGTTCTTGGTTCTGAGAATTATTATATGTGTTTTTAGTAATTTGACCATAGCCTAGACAAGGTAACTGTGTATGCGTTATGAGTATGTACTATGAAACATCTGTCTACAGGATTGCATGTCAACATGACGATATGTTAGTAAGAAACAGTTCAAACAATGTTATGTCATCTGTACTCGGATGGTTGTATCCACCTGAGGTATTCTAAGAATGGATCATTTATATATATATATATATATATATATATATATATATATATATATATATATATATATATACGCACATCTTTTTATCTGAATTACCTTAATTTTTTCAGAGTAAAATGGTTTCAAAGTCAACAGATCAACCTCGACAAAATGAAATGGATGGTGATGCCAATGTTGTAGAAGTATATATATGCAAATCTAATCCTAAACACCCACCATATCGATTTCCACGATATAATAATCCTAAAAAGTTACTTGAAACTCGTCTAGGACGTTGTGGTGAATGGGCTAATTGCTTTACTTTATTTCTTGTCTCTGTTGAACGTTCATCTCATCAACCGTGGTTTGAATCTTGTCGGCTTATAATGGATTGGACAGATCATGTTTGGTGTGAAGTGTATGTTTGTAAATCACTATTAATGTTTCATTATTTAATGGTATATTTTTTATGCTATAAGAAAAACTTACTAGTAGACTATTCACTGAAATGCATGGAACTATGTAAAGGGTATCAAAGTTGTAGGTAAATTTAAGAGGTGACCAGCAAAAAGCATGAAATGTATGTCAAATGTGGCCACTTGTCTGAGTAGTTTGTAATGAACACTACTGTGGTTTTCATTGGTTTGTTATGCCTAATGAAATGCAGACAAACAAACAGATAACATAGAACCTTACACAGAAGTGTGTCGATTCAAGTTACCACACTTCACAGTAGCGTGCAAAGAACATGTGACCAGAAACAGACTGATATCAATGAAAACAAAGGTGTATGAGAAGAGAATAAATTTGAAAATGTTCAGATGAGATCAGAGAGTGAATACACCTGAGCTGTGTTACTAATTTTTAACCAACTCACCAAGAGTCCTCAACTACGGATTCCTACAGTCTCAGGAATCCTAGCCAGGTATTCCACACCTCCTTGTACCACTCAGGCCAACAGTCAGGGACTTCATGGACCGGTGTCACGTCTTGGTCTGGCCACCCTCAGCTGTTATCCAACCGAATTCAATTTCGGCTGATATTGTACATCAAAGTTGGCTGTGAATTGGGATGTAGAACACTTCAGTCGATGAAGGTTCACAACCTCATTGATTGACGTTCATACTTTCTGAAGTATCTTACGCCTAACCTCTAAATTGTAAATCTATGTTGTGCAAGTTATATAATGGTACTTGTAGTTAGTGAAATGTGATCTAATTACTTGACTTCCAAGCAATGGATACCAGGTTTAAACTCTTACCGTCACATACTTCGACTTTGGCAGTTATTAGGAACTGGTCAAGCAGTGTCCATACACATGTGATTTGCTGTATAGGGTGGGCATTCATATATAGGACTGGTTCATTGCCAGAGTTGCTAGATGTTTTCTCGACTGATAGCTGCTATTTTATTGTAGCGGTTTGGCTAGCACGAATAAAAAAGGCTTGGCTGGCTTTTGCCGACTTACGCCACCTATGGCACCACCGGGATATCCAATTATCTAGTAAAGGTCGCGCGTACTGCACAGCAGTCCAGTCTGTTCTACCATATGACTGTGAAACATGCCCATTGAAGGTGGAGGACATGAGAAGGGTACAGGTGTTCGACCACCGTTGCCTTCGTAGTATAGGCCGTATTCTGGGGTCTCACGATGTGAGTAATGCAGAAGTCGGGTGTGGAGTTTTAAAGAGGGAGAAGAGGTAATTCAGTTGGTTGAGGTGGTTTACCGGGACATGTGTTATCTATGCGTAGTCGCCATCTGCCTCGTCACATAATGTTGGCCGAAGTAGGTTCAGATTGGAAAGAGGCTCGAGGTGACCAGACTAAAACGTGGCATCAATGTATGAAGTATTTGATTGTTGGTTTAGCCATGTGAGGCGATGCAAACTGGGTGGTCGTGGTCCGTGAGACAAGAGGAACCATTGGTTGGAGACTGACTGTGGGTGATATGACTCAGAACCGATATCAGTGGTGTAGATGTATCCCCACATACATTATCCTCATCTTAACAACGCTATACCAAATCTCACCACTTACTCATTCTTCTTGTCTTTCTTTATGTTCTTTATATTTCTTTCGACTGAATTTTCTTATCTTCATCTTGCACCTCACTGTCTTTTTACTTGATTTAGTGATATGAGGTGAGGCAAGTTGGAGTGTTACTCAGTAATGTCTGGTCCAATGTTGATTTGGATGGATGGATGGTCGTTCTTCCATTTGATGATGAGCCAACTCGCTACATCGGTTAGAATGCTTATTTCCTAGTATTTCTTAGTATGCCAGAAAGGTACGTAGTAAGATGAAAAGCAGTTACCGTTGTCGTGTAAATTGCTACTCTACGATGGGGGTTAGGAAACGAAGTCGTACTGTTGGCTAGCTGTAGTGTGACAGCAGTAAAGTGTTTCCCTTGGATGACTGTCAGTGCCATGCTGATGCTGCCATTTTGGTGAAATAGGGGTGGCTTTGACATATGTTGTACATGTAGAGCCACTGCCTACTTCGAAGTGAAATGTTTGCGGAAGTTGGATTCATTTGGAGGAAGGCATAGTGTGACCAGGCCAAGATGTGGCACTAATCCATGAAATCTCTTACTTTTGGTGTGTGAACCGTGTAGGAAAGTGTGAACTACCTGGCTGGGACTCCCAAGACTATAGAAATCAGTAGTTGAGGACTCTTGATGAGATGTCTGAAAATTAGTCTGAAGCTTGAACATTTTCAAGGACCTTCATTTTCAAATTTATTCTCCACTGATACACCTTCGTCTTCTTTGATATCAGTCTGTTTTTGGTCACGTGTTCTTTGTATGCTGCTTTGAAGTGTGCTAACTAGAACTGATCCACTTAAGTGGGGTGTTCTATGTTGATTTCTTCTGTCTATTTTTAGGGTTTCCGGGGCTGATTATAACGTTTTAGGCGATTAGTGCAAACCTCATCAAGAAAGTGATAAAATGTGTATTCTAACATTTGCTCTATAGGGAACTTCAAACATCCTGCAGCTCGGTATGAAATTCAGGTATCATTTGATTTCAGACAGTTGGTCAGTATGAACACTGATTGTCGGCACGTTTGTTATTTAAAGACATCAGTGTCAACATGGAATGAGACATTACTGCAGAACGTTTACCACACCTCATATCAACACAACAAGTAACAAACCAGTGAGATGAAAGAAAAATGAGAGACTACTGAATTCAGTGGGACGATTAACATGACATTAAATTTTAGGTACCATCTGTACCACTAACATCGATTCTAAGTCATATCATCACCTGAATTCTCCAACCACTAGTTTCTGTTGTCATGTGGACCCTAACCGGCTAGTTTGCATCTTCCAGCATGGCTCAAACCAATAGTCAAGGACTTCGTATCTTAGTCGAACCGTTCCGAACCCTTTTTACCAGCTTGAACCTACTTTAAGTAATATTGCACAACCTCGACATATTGTCTTTCTGATTCCTGTGGTCAATACTATCAGTTATGTGCAAGTTTCAATTTCTTGTGTAGTTATTTTTTTCTATAGTGTAAAGCTTATTCGATATACTGAATTTATTGTACGAAAGCGTTACGCTCTTACGTGTTTTTTATATGATAATATTCTTTAGCTGGTTAGAGGATAGAGAAACTAATCGAAAGCGTTGGATACACTGTGACCCATGCGAAGGACAGATAGATAAGCCTCTTTTATATGAATCAGGATGGAATAAAAAGGTTAATTATATTATGGCGTATACAGTGCCACCTCGGTCATTACATCAAACATTGGAAGGTAGTAATAAACTGGCAGCTATTGATATACAAGATGTGACATGGCGTTATACGCAAAACTTCTCTGAGGTAAGTTTTATGGTTTTCTCGTCTTTCTCTTTCTCTTTCTATCTCTCCCTCACCCTTCCCTATGTGAATATTCCTCTGCTCCTCTCTGGATAATCTGGCACGGCCTAGATTTTCATTTCACCCTCAATCATCAACCAGTATTAACTAACTTATGCTGTTACTTATAATATCCCGTTGTTAATTAGACCAAATTGATCGGCGTTTATTGGCTATATGAGCTACTCTATGGGTGCCTAGATATCGGCGCTATTTTCACTTTGATATGAAGAATAAATAACGGCTAGCAATGGAATCTGGGACATGCATCCTTCTTCCTGTTTGGGGCCTAATTGGAGAAAAGATTTAAGCTATTCATCTTGAGAATACTATTTTGAATAAAATATCTATCACTACTTGGAGTCATACCGTCGGTGAAAAAAGTTAAGTAGTCGTACTAAAATTCTCTAGATTTTATAGTTTTATATACTACACTTTATTGACAGATATTTTCTTGACTCAAAGAATCGTATTGGCTTAGGAGGTCGACTCACAAACCATTAGTTTGTAAGTTCGAATCCTGCCCTATTTAATTCAGTCTGGGCAATCAAGTAGTGTCATAAGTCACAATAAGTATAACTTATGTCTTTAAAATAAAATCCTTGCTATACTTGACGAATGAATAGTCAGTCAACTGAGCGATTTCACAGCAATCATAGCATACTGTATTGTAAATCATGTAATAAGGAATCATATCAGCCGTTAAGTTTTCCTGTTGTAGCTTAATGATATTATCTTAATACATGCTGAATAAACTTATATTATAGCAAATGAGAAGAAGTAGTGGCAACTATCGGCGAGTTTTTGGAAGTGGTTTCAAGTTGGCCAGATCAAGGTATAACACCAGTTCTTGTAGTTTCTATCTGTTGGTCTGGGGCGTGTAGAGAGGTGTAGACTTCTAAGTTGATTGAAGGCTCTTGATGAAAATGGCTGAAAATCGGTCATAATGGCACAGGCCTTCTAAAGCTTGACTTATTTGACTGACCTTAATTTTTAAGTTGCTTCTGCTCCTATACACCTTTGTCTACGTTGACATCAGTCTTTTTCTATCCACTTGTTGTTTAGATGTCACCGTGAAGTATGACAACTGTAGCCGGTGCACTTCTGTGCGAGGATCTGCGTTGATTTTGCCTGTCTTTCTATGTCTTTGACTAATGTCTCGTGGTTAACAGTTCATAGTGTGATGCTGTGACTCATTGGTTTAAGGAGACGACTTTCGATTAATGGGTTACGGGTTCGAGCACCGCTATGCCTACCAAGGTGTAGGCAACCGAATCCTATGCCAAGGAACCGAGAATGGTGATTGTCTCTTGCAATTTTGCCCCGACGATCACTTGTTTCTGACCAACACTAGCCTTAGGCATAATGATAAAACGGTGTCTTACCTGGTGTCCGCCAACTTCAAACCAACGATGAACGCAGATAGATCACATTGCCATAAGGCATTGTGTGAGAGGATCATTGGAGGATTACCGCTCTATTTTGAGTACCAATTTGGACTCCGATCGCACGCTAATACGGGATCGTGTGTCTGTGCCTTACCGGTCTCAGGAATCAGGCGACAGTGAAGCTTGTCTATCGTAGATTAAAAGATAAGCAAGTTAAGTCCAAATTTTGGGAAGCGATAGCTAAGCATTTGTCTGAACATGATAGCAATGAGCATCCTAGGGAAGTGTGGTGTGTGCATTGGGTAACACGGCAGACGTTTAAGCTTATTAGGGATAGTTTCATCAAGAATACGATGGTTAGTGGATGCATCACCGTAAAAGATAGAACTCTGATAACCTCCTAGGACTAGGGCGAGTTTGTGTGAAACGTTAAGCAGAACACTTGAGACAGTTCAACTGGTCCTCAGCAACGCTTTATTTGCCCAACATCCAGCCTAAACCTGAATAGGCCGTAGATGTTGCTCTTCCAACCCTCCTTTGAGTTGAGAAATTTGCATCAAACCTGAAAGGATGCGAAGCAGCAGGACCTGTCAATTTGCCATTCGGGGTTTTGAAGGATTAAGGTAGGAAATTGACAATCAAAGTGATGAAGGTACTATGTAGTGTATAGGAAGCAGAGGTAGTACCATCAGACTTGTCTGCATCTCTGGTCATCCCACTCATTAGGGAGGGGGAGAAATCTTACTGTGACAACCATAGGGAGATTATTTTCAGTTACATTGTGTCCAAGATCCTCGGGTCCATAATTATTTGATGCTCAACTGCAGCTTATTCAATGCGCTCATGGAGACTATCAAAGAAGAACGGAAGTGAATCTTTACTTGTGTAATAGAACATTTAGAAAACTCAAGACATTGGATTCCTTTAGAGAAGTTCTTTGAAAAGTCTGTAAAAAGTGCGACTAAGCCACTCGGAAGAAGTATGGTTAAAGACATCTGAACATAGCATTAGAAATTCAAAAATTTAAACCATCATTGTGTGGTGTTTGACGTCATGGCTGACTTAGAGTATGGATCATTCTAGATATCCACCCATCTACCCAAATCAACGTTGGACCAGGCATTACTGCTTAACGGTCGAAGTTGCCACACCTCATATCACTACATCAAGTAAAAAGACAGTGAGGCGCAAGATGAAGATAAGAAAATTCACTCCAAGGAAATATGAAGTACGAAAAGAGAGACAGGAAGAATGAGAAAATGGTGAGATTCGGTATAGCGTTGTTAAGATGAGGATAATGTATGTGGGGATACATCTGCACCAATGATATCGGTTCTGAGTCATATCACCCACAGTCAGTCTCCAACCAATGGTTTCTCTTGTCCCACGGACCACGACCACCCAGTTTGCATCGCCTCACGTGGCCAAAACCAACAATCAAATACTTCATACACGGATACCACGTTTTTTAGTCTGGCTACACCTCAAGCCTTTTCCTAGTCTGGACCTACTTCGGCCAACATTATGCGACGAAGTAGACGGTGACTAGGCATACGTTACATATGTTACATCCACTTCCGTCGATGAAGGTTCACAGCCACATCAACTGTATTACCTCTTCTCCTTACCTAAAACTCTACTTCTGACTTCTGAGTTACTCACGTCGTGACACCACAACACACGGCCTATGCTACGAAAACAGCAGTGGTCAGACACTTGAAGCCTTCTCATGTCTTCCACCTTCAATGGACATGTTTCACAGCTATACAGTAGAACACAGTGGACTGCAGCACAGCACACTTGATCCTTAATAGACAATCCGATATCCCGTCGATGCTACAGGTGGTGTGGTGTGGTGTGGTGTGGTGTGGTGTGGTGTGGTGTGGTGTGGTGTGGTGTGGTGTGGTGTGGTGTAGTGTAGTGTAGTGTAGTGTAAGTCACCAAAAGCCAACTGAGCCTTTTGTATCCCTACAGAGATTTCATCGACCACTGAGCCAATAGGGTAAGGCTGATCCCACTTCCCAGGTAAGTGAAGTCGTCAACACACTCAACCACTAAACTCTCTTTTATTAGTTGTGGCACCGTTGAACACCAATCCTAGAGCTACAATTCATATTTGGGTGGTGAGAAACGCATCCAAAACATTCTCAAATTCCCACTCAAGGTGTCGAGAAGACTCTACATCTTGTCAGGATCTTCACCTAATACGACTGACTATCTCATCTGTGTATTCTATGTCTACCGAGAGTTCTCCTGTGATCAAATCAATCCCTGTGTGGTGAGTCAGATGACGAGAGGAAGACCTCCATAAGAATATTTATGATGAAACTGAATAGGAGTGGAGAGAGTAGGCAGCCTTGACGGATACCACTCGACGACCGCAGCTCCTCGGACACCTCACCATAGGCTGTAACACGCCTACAGGTGTTCGAGTAGACAGCCCTCAATAAAACAAGTTGATGTACTTACTCGGCACGCCTTTCAGTGAGATACATAGCCATAAGACTTCTCGAAAAAGGAGTCGAATGCCACCTTCAGTTCGAGAAATATAGGCGGTATTGTTTGTCGGTAAGGGTTCTCCTATGTTCTTTAACCTGGCGCCGTGTGAATGTTTGTTATTGTAGATAATTCATCAGTAGCGTAACTTTTATTAATATTAGTAATCATTTTGCTTATTTCCCCATTTTGGATTCTCATATATATGATTTAACCTTGCTTTTTCATGCAATTTATCTTGACCATTGGCCAGAAATCGCTCTCGATTTTTCCGTCCTTTCTAAAATGTATTCACGAATGCACAACTATGAAAATGATTTCGTTGAAAAGAAATAAAATTTTCTGCGTTGTAATCGTCCTCTGTCGTTTCGTATTATTGAATTTGTTGCTAGTGGAGTGTTGAGTTATTAGTATCTCAGTTCACCTCATATATTGCAGTCTACTACCACCTTATTCATTGGTAGAAATACAATTAGACGGATGTTAGCTGTTTGATAGAAATCAGCTTGTTGGCTGTCGCTAGCAGGACGTATCTCCAAAGTCGATGGAATTGATGTCCCCCTCTTGAGATTCGAACCCACGTTAATTAACATGCATTTATAAAGTTTCAATGCAGTTAAATTGTGAAGGTGCACTCTTCGCACTGTTTAACTATTTATTTCCATTTCCCAAGTAGGTACGATCGCGACGTCATCTAATTAGAGAGTTTATATTGGCCACACAATTGGCAAATATTCACTATGATGCTGTAAGAAAGTGGTCCCTTTTCAGTGAAGAGAGCGATGTCAACACGAATCCATTTTGTTGGAATTCTATCATTGATGAGTTGATTACGTTTCTACGTCCTCCAAAGTGTGTTGAAAAACTTCCAGGTCGTCAAACTGGATCCTTGGAATGGCGTAAAGCTCGTGGCGAATTAGGTCAGACATGTGCATCTGTCAACTCTTCTATCAGGGGGTGAGTTCCTTTCTACTATTTTCAATTATCATTATCATCATTATTTGTCCCTTAGGTTTCTAGTGGGACATAGGGCCTCAGTAGCACGCTGTCATCCCACTCTTTTCTCTGCAGTCTTTTGAATCTCACTCTACTACTGCCCACAAGCTTGCATTTCATCCTCACATCATCTCCTCCATGTCACCCTCCAATTCACGCCCAACTCGTCCTTTCCCCTTTGCATTCCACTGGACAATCTGGCCTGGCGCATGATGTGCCCAATCGGTTTTCTCAGTGTATGCCCAATCCAATCCAATCCATCTCCACTCTCTTCTTCTGCATGTTTGTTGGGCGATAGTTTGTTGGTTCGTCGGTTCTTTGTCAGCGTAGGCGACAGCTGTTGATGAGTGTCTGCAGTGTGTTGGGAATACTTTTCGTAACGCGTCAAGTCTCTCAAACATCACATAGAAGCACTGAGTTGACTGACTAAGTGCAGAAAATCCGGATATTGTTCACTGTTGAGTGCAGTGCAGTACAGTAGATCTCCACACTGATTATTTCAGATTAATGAAGAAAGGCCTGTCTTGCTGTGTCTACGATCCTGGATGCTTTGACATCCTCATCTGTATGTGTACCGCTTGTAGTTGAGAGGATGCTGTCTAGATAGGTAGGTAGGTAGGTGAAGGAAACAATTTCCTTAAGATTTCTTCCGTTGATCATGAATGTGCTTGTTGTTGTTGTTGTTGGTTGAGTATCTTCATCACCTCTGTCTTCTCTACGTTCACCTGAAGGAAGTTCCGTCTTCGCTGCTCTTCCTCTTCTGCTAACTTATTAGTTTTCGCCTATAGATCATCGAGTGTGTGCGACATAATACATTAGACATGAATCATCACGAGTGAAATGCAAATGTTGTAGGGTTTTTTTCCTGGGTCAACCAGCGTGTGTATGCCCATCTTCCTGCTCCTCATAGTTTGTTGCATGATCCGATTCAGTCGAGTTGACGACAATCAGGAAGATGATCGGTGATAGTAGGCAACCTTGTTTTATGGGTGAATCTGTCTTCACTTCAAAGACATCACTGAGGTTTCCATTGTGAATCATTTGTCATGTAGCATGATCTAGCATGTGGCTGTTGAATGAGGTTGATAAAGTTTTGTGGCATTCACTTTGTAGTGTTGAAGCAGCTGGGAATTTTCTTTTTGTTCGAGGGTATGGAAGGGGTTTTCACTAGGATGAATTTGAGTTGGAGAGTTGACTACCATTCTATACTCTGTTTGTTGATGATGATGCGTAGCGTTACTATTTGTTCTGCATATCGTTTATTCTTCCTGACGCCAGCGAGCGAGTCAGCCAGCCAGCCAGTCAGTCAGTCAGTCAGTCAGTCAGTCAGTCTCAGTCAGTCAGTCAGTCAGTCAGTCAGTCAGTCAGTCAGTCAGTCAGTCAGTCAGTCAGTCAGTCAGTCAGTCAGTCAGTCAGTCAGTCAGTCAGTCAGTCAGTCAGTCAGTCAGTCAGTCAGTCAGTCAGTCAGTCAGTCAGTTCTGGTGGTAATTTTGAATGTAGAGGATTTTCATTTTCTCCAGGATGATGTGGCATAATATTTTGTTTGATGTTGACAGGGATGGAGCATGATTCGTCGCCAGTTGTTGCAAAAACCTAGGTGTCTCCCTTATTTGGGAGTTTGACAAGATAGCCCTTTTTCGAATCAGCAGGTAACTTTCCTTCCTTTCTAACTGTCTGCAATAGTAACCTCTCAATACGCCCATTGTTTTTGTTTTGCTTTTTAAAAATATGAATTGACTTGCGTGAACTAGTGAAGTTTGGTAGGATAGTTCGCATACTACTGAAATTGCGCACTATATTCCTATATTTAATAGTATAATGATTTACTTGCTTATCTACTAAAGAAGACGCATTTCATCTGATGTGGTCCAATTGGCATGAAATTACGTTTCTAGGTGTCCTACCGATCGTCTCTGATCCACTAACACCTGAATGGTTCCTCCATGTTCACTTGTTAAGTCATCATTAGTTTCGCTCATAGAAGTGGTTTATTCCAAATTTAAATTGATGATTTGCTCGACATATACTTTGAAGTAATTTGACGTATGCTGTTGGATTACATGTAGGTTTCAGCATCTACACTGATCAATAGTAAGCTTCACAATTCAGCATCTGTTATATATTGTTCAAGATCTTTTACAGTTCGTCAACTGGACAGCTGTTTTGTCCTGTCACGAGTATCCTCATCAGTGCGCGCGCATGACTCCACCAGACATCGAACTCGAGACATTTTGGTTTATTGACGAAGAAGATAACAATGAGTCATTGAATCGGAACCCAATGGTACATATTTTGCTACTTTTTTCAATTTGCGATATAGCACGACCTAACCCGCAAACCTTCAGATTATATTTATCGATTTTGTTTATTATATAGGTCATAGTGCCAATATTGTACTGTCTACGTTTATATTTCTCGACCTGTAGGTGGCATTCGACTCCTTTTTCGAGAAGTCTTATGGCTATGTATCTCACTGAAAGGCGTGCCGAGTAGGTACATCAACTTGTTTTATTGAGGGCTGTCTACTCGAACACCTGTAGGCGTGTTACAGCCTATGGTGAGGTGTCCGAGGAGCTGCGGTCGTCGAGTGGTATCCGTCAAGGCTGCCTACTCTCTCCACTCCTATTCAGTTTCATCATAAATATTCTTATGGAAGTCTTCCTCTCGTCATCTGACTGACCACACAGGGATTGATTTGATCACAGGAGAACTCTCGGTAGACATAGAATACACAGATGAGATAGTCAGTCGTATTAGGTGAAGATCCTGACAAGATGTAGAGTCTTCTCGACACCTTGAGTGGGAATTTGAGAATGTTTTGGATGCGTTTCTCACCACCCAAATATGAATTGTAGCTCTAGGATTGGTGTTCAACGGTGCCACAACTAATAAAAGAGAGTTTAGTGGTTGAGTGTGTTGACGACTTCACTTACCTGGGAAGTGGGATCAGCCTTACCCTATTGGCTCAGTGGTCGATGAAATCTCTGTAGGGATACAAAAGGCTCAGTTGGCTTTTGGTGACTTACACTACACTACACTACACCACACCACACCACACCACGCCACCTGTAGCATCGACGGGATATCGGATTGTCTATTAAGGATCAAGTGTGCTGTGCTGCAGTCCACTGTTCTACTGTATAGCTGTGAAACATGTCCATTGAAGGTGGAAGATATGAGAAGGCTTCAAGTGTCTGACCACTGCTGTTTTCGTAGCATAGGCCGTGTGTTGTGGTGTCACGACGTGAGTAACTCAGAAGTCAGAAGTAGAGTTTTAGGTAAGGAGAAGAGGTAATACAGTTGATGTGGCTGTGAACCTTCATCGACGGAAGTGGATGTAACATATGTAACGTATGCCTAGTCACCGTCTACTTCGTCGCATAATGTTGGCCGAAGTAGGTCCAGACTAGGAAAAGGCTTGAGGTGTAGCCAGACTAAAAAACGTGGTATCCGTGTATGAAGTATTTGATTGTTGGTTTTAGCCATGTGAGGCGTTGCAGACTAACCGATTTCAGTCTGCGGGACAAGTGAAAGCAGTGGTTAGAGAATCCAGGTTATGTTTCAGAATCGGTGTCATTGTGGCAGATGCATGCACATTATCCTCACGTTAACCGTTATACCTTATCTCACGATGTCATTCTTTCTCCTGTTTTACTATTTTCTACTTATGCTCCCTGTGACCGACTTTTCTCTCTTCATCTTACGTTTTATTGCCCAGCTGCTTGATGTTGTGATATTACCGAGGTATGGCAACTTGGACGGTTATTCAGTAATACCTTGGTTTATGTTGATCTTGATGGTGAAGATGATTACTGAGTATTAGTCGATAGATACCTTACGGCAGATGATTCTTAGCCGTGTCACAGCAATAATTATTTACTCAGTGGAATATACAATTGAACCAAACAAAGTTCTCTGGATACAGGACGTGGAGATAAAAAATAATGAAGAACATGTGAGACGGAGATTTGCTCTCAAGCGCATTGGATAGATGTTATATCACGAATACCATTGTAATACTAAACATTTGCCGACTAGATTCTATTATCCATTCCAGGTAGCCTTGTAAGCATTTCTACAGGCTTATAACTCATATGGTATGAGAATACTTTGATGACACGCAATCACAGCTAGAGTTGAATTGAACCACTTACCTAGGAAGTCCTATATGGTTAACTTACATCGTAACATATATCTCGCGGTTTATTCGATGGAGTAAGATATTATGGTGAACACTACTCATAAGAATGTATATCAGTAAGGTGTAACGCAGCATTAGTATACACTAAAAAGATAACAATCGACTGGTTAAAATTTGAGAGGGATGAAAGGTGTAGAGGTGGCAAGAATACTACACACTAGGATACCGAAAGGTAGAGTGTTTTATTTGACTTTATTGTAACGTTTTTATACTTTTATGAATACCAACATTATTTGTAATGTATAACTTATATTGACTAGTCACGGGGAAAGTAACTAATTTCCTGCTGTCTAGTCATTCCTCAGTGCCGACCGGATTTCATCGATCAATTTTGCAATGTAGTAAAATGGGTTCTAGTTTCAGGTTTTTTTATCTAATTCCTTGGAGAGCCAACACGCACGAAACAGGTCCAGGGTTTCTGATAGACTATCTCCAACCAGTTAATATCTATTAATATTTGACTTGTCACGCTTTATTCACAACTATGAGTGTTCATGCGTGAACTGAACTGAACACGAAGTGAGTTATTTGTCTGTCCTGCTCTGTGTCTCCATATTCTATGCGATCTGAGTTGTCCATATATGCAACTGAAGTAACATTTTCACAGTGTATCATAATTCGTATAATCGATTTCACTGAACATGCAATTATTCTGAAACCGACTTGAATGAAATGTCAATAAGATACATTTTTGAGTGCAGTTGAGTTGAGCAAGTGAAGCAGTCATAGCTGATCCAGCTACTAAGTAGAAATGTCTTCCAAAGTTGTATGATGAATTCAGCAAAGAGGACTCTTTTCAATGAATTTATTCTCAAGCTGTACATTCGTATATATACATGTATGATATTTAAAGACTGTAATGCATGAGGAAGACTTAACTTAAATAATGAGGAGTTGAAATCACAATAATGGTGGTTATAACTATTTATTTACATACTTGTTATTCTCCGTTGTTTTCCTGGATCGAATTGTTCGACCTCTATTGATATGTAATCCCCTATGTGCGGATACCTCGATATTGCCTGAATGTTAATCATGATAATTTGTTTGGTTGTGGCTAGCAGAAGAATACAGGACGTGCGTTTCGTTCTATTTGGGACTCGTCAGCTGGATGTACCTGCACCGCAATCAGTGATGTTGTTCCCACTGAGACTCGAACCTCTTACCCATCCACTATGTCACGAAGGAATGATAGCCATTTCTTATACAACGGGTGGTTATAATTATAATAACATTGCTAGTTGATGACGTGAAGGTTAAGTGATAACAAAAAGGGTTACGTAAGATTTTAGATATAGATTAAAAAGGAGTGAAAATGTGGTAGAGTTATTAAACAATCAAAGGTGATTAGGTAGTATGAAGGAGACAAAAGAATCGGAATAAATTAAAAATGTTTTGTTAAAAGTTGTGATTATTAGGAAGATCAAATGAAATAACACCGGAAACAATTAAATATAAAAGTAAAGTGATAATGACGATATAATAGTACAAAGGCCAAGGTAGAGACAAAGACTGTACATACTTCTTTTGCATACATAGGTCAGACTGTCTTCAGTTGACGGATAGCTAAGGCCTCTGCTGTCCTCAGAAGTTGAAGATGGAGTAAACTTGAAATACGATAAAACAACCTTAAAGTTATTGTTCAAGTTGATTGAATGATTGGAATCGATTGAATGTTCAAGGATAGAACTTCTGATGCATTTCCTTTCACCCTTATAAGACCAGATAGGAATATATTTTTGTATACGTGTTGACTATGGCCGATGTACCTTTCTCCATAGGAGCAGGTGAACTAGTAGATACATATGGATGTAGCCTGTCTAAGGATATTGTCTTTTATACAAATGGAGAACAATTTACGACTGGTAAAGATCAAGTGAAGTTTGACTGAGAAAAAGTTCTACTAATTGATCTAGAAAGACGATTTTTCAGGATATTCAATGCTGGATCACCTTTGAAGTCCAGGTTCATGAACAAAGTCTTTTTTGAAACTGAACTAGTGACTGGTTTCGCATATGTTTCTCGCATATTCTTATCGATAAATCGGCTAGGATAGCCGTTTTCTTCGAGTGTCCCTCTTAGAAAGTCAAGTTCAACTTAGACACAGTTAGTACTACAAATATTACTTATTTGATAGCATAGTGAGTGAATGAAATTCCTCTTCCTCATGACCAGCATCCGGCTATAGAAATCAGCAAGTTGTCCATTCCACTTGGATTTCCTATAGATGAATCTTTTCAGCGTTTCATTGCTATGTCTCATAATCAGCACGTCAAGGAAAGGAATAACTGATTTCAATTCCTTCTCAATAGTGACAATTGTTATGCTCGAGTAGGATGTCATCCAAATGGATAGTTGAGTCGTAGATAACGAATAGATCATCTATATATCGTTTACAGGTGTCAAATTAATTAGTAGTTTGGCTAAGAATAGAATTTTCTAGTTTTCATATGAAACAATCTGCCATTAGAGGTCCCAATAGGCATTCCAATGCAATCTCATCATTTTACCGGTATATCTTGTCATCGAAACTAAATTGCACATTGAAAATAGGTCTCTTAAGTAGTTCCTACCTCTATACTGTGTGAATCAATGAAATCACATATGTAGGAAATAGTTTCAGTGAGTAGTAGTACACATATGAACATACAAGAAAGAAACTGTGTACAAGTTGGACAGATGTTTCCTTTGCATGTAATTTGGCATAAATTTTGACATGTTTATAGTTTTCGTATTTATTTTCTCTTCTTTACTCGTCAAGTTTTTATTACAATGTATATTTTACTCTCATTTTTTCTCTATCAAACTAGATCGAAATACATTATTCGCCCATCTGATTTGGAGTTAAAAACTGGAATATTTCATCTACGTTATAATTCAGCGTTGAATATTTATGAACGTCTTTACTACATTAAGACTAATGCATCTGATGTAAACTGCTACCCTACTAAGAATTCTAAAGGTGATAAACAGGAATTATTGAAAATAACTGAGAATGCACGAGAAACTGGTCTTTATGGTTGGCAATCTATGGTTTATGAATGGAGGAATATTTGTCGGAAGGTGAGCGGAAAGCCCCCTGGACTCCTTTTTTTATCTGACTCATCAACTCTCTTTGTTTCATGTTTAAGTGCGTATTTTATCTCAGTTTTTTCTCTCTATAATACACCTTTGACACTACATATAGTCTTTCGAGAAAGAACTTACAATAAAGAGGGATTTCAGTGCAATCAGGGATCACATATATTTTCTTATAAATTGATAGCTTAAACTTACTTGACTCTTTCTGTTCTTTTCGGTCTTAGTTGGTCTTGATGTATACTGGTGTTTGAATTGGTTTAGATATATTTAAACTTGTTATTCATAGTAGACTGACATCAGTTGCAGGAACAATGGAAACCTATGAGCACTGGACAGCTGTTGCCTCCTAGCATGCGACTCCTCAGCGGTGCGCACCCACGACGTCGCCAGGGATCCAACCGGCGACCTTCAGTTTCTGTTGCCAGCACGTTACCATTCAGCTAACCACTGGTCGGTGGAATCCAATGGTCCATATTTCCATCTTCTTTTAGCTTACGATAAAGCGCAACCGTCACCCAATGTCATCGTTGAATAACTATTCTCACGACCTTCAGGCTTTGCCCCCACCGATCACGACTTCTCATTGGAACTTCGGGAATACGTCTCAAAGCTAGTCACCAATGAGCACCGGTGACCGCTGGGGGCAAAGCCTGATGGTCATGAGGACAGTTACTCAACGATGACATTGGGTGGTGGTTGTGCTATATCATGAGCCAACATAAGTTGGAAATAAGGAGCACTGGATTCTGACCCAGTGGCTAGCTCAATGGTAACGTGCTGGCAACGGAACCTGAAGGTCGCAGGTCCGATCCCTGGCGGGGTGGGGTCATGGGTGCGCACTGCTGAGGAGTCGCATGCTAGGAGGCAACAGCTGTCCAGTGCTCATAGGTTTCCATTATTCCTTCAACTAATATCAGTCTACGATGAATAACAACTTGAAATACTTCCAAATCCTCACAACTCCCTCAAAATTCAATATATTTAAACCTTTGTGATGTCTTAAATCATAAAATTGAAGATTATGACTATGAAATATTAACTGAGGATAGTAAACATTCTGGTAAGGAATTCAGGGTCCCCCTATCTCGAGAACTTTGGTCTTTCTGTGCTCCTCTGAGCAATATCTGCGAAGGAAGGAGTTGTTTTCAATCTAAGATACTTTATTCTTCAATCCTATCAGCTATTATCTCGTAGAATTCTTTTGAAATGTGACCACTGATTATAAAGAATAAATCAAAAGTGTACGCTCAATTATGTATAGCACAAAAGTAATGAGGTAAGACGTTGACTGTTTATTGTTGCGTCATGAGTTTGAAATGTGAACTTGGCATAGGATGAACATCAGGAGGAGAAATGATCGAGGAAAAAAACAGGAAATAATAACAGGAATGGCTATAAATTGGCGGGAATAGTTGAATAAGATTCAGTCAAAAGAGCTTACATTACTATTTTCTTATACAACTACTCAAATGAGACAGAAGAAAAGCCTTAGCATGATCACGAGGTGAATTAATCTTATACATGCCTTCGTAGTATAGGACGTATTCCGTGGTGTCACCATGTAAGTAATGCAGAAGTTAGGTGTAGAGTTTTGGGGAGAAGAGGTAAGTCAGTCGACGAGGTTGTGAACCTTCATCGACTGAGATGGTTGGCTGTGACATGTACTACGTATGCCTAGTCACCGATTGACTCGTCACACAATGTTGGCTGAGGTGGGTCCAGGCTGGAAGTAGGCCCGAGGTGGCCAGACTAAAACATGGCTCCAATGTATGAAGTCTGTGACTGTTGGTTTAAGCCATGTAGGACGATGCAGACTAGGTGGTTGGGGTCCACGGGACAAGAGAAACCAGTGGTTGGCGCAGATGTATCTCCATACACATTATCCTCATCTTAACAACGCTATACCGAATCTCACTATTTTGTCACTCCTCTTTCCTTTCTTCTCGTACTTTATATTTCTTTTGACTGCATTCACTTATCTTCATCCTTCACCTCACTACCTTTTTACTTGATGTGCTGATATGAGGTGTGGCAAGTTGGACCGTTACGCAGTAATGCCTGGTCCTATGTTGATAATGATGATGATGATGATGATGATGATACATGCAGAAATTTGCCTTATCGCTATTATTCTCCGAGTCAGGAAGTAATGACAGATCAAAGGCGAAACCCATGCTGGAATGTATCAGTGTACTGTATTATGTAGGTGCTCATTTCGCCTACTACAATTCCTACTGTCAGCGTTCTTATTTAACCTTGTTATAGACGTACTAATGGACCTAACCTTAGGTACATCTGACTTTATTGTTGGTATTGATCTAATCCCTAGAGATTATCTGGTTGACTCGGGGTATGCAGACTATATTGTCCTGCTATCTAGGTAAAGACACTGACAAAATGCAGGGTCTTTTAAACTGATTTTGTTCAGTAGAAATCTGAGTATGTTTGACTTGCATTTCGCCAGTACCTGTCAAATGTAAGATGATGCTGCAGGAGTGGTCTGCTGCAATTACTTCGAGTTTGACTGTTAGGTAGTGAGGTGTTGGGATGTGTGGACGAGTTGATTTACTTGGGGAAGTTGGATGAACCCTGTGAATAAGCTGATGGGTTGTTGATGAGATGTCAGTTTGGATATCGAAGTCCAGTTTTGTATTTGTCAAGTTGTGTCATGTGTGGGGCTGACTGATGAGATATGTGACTATTTATCAAAGGAGGAGTATACTGCGCTGCAGTCAGTTTTGTCCTTTTATACTGCTGTGAGATATGCTGTTGAAAGTAGAAGACATGAAGACATGTGAGCAATGTTGAAGTCAAACGAATAGTGCTAGACGAGACAAGAAGGTTGATTGATGATGTCGTGAACCATAGTCGATTGAGATGGCTTGGACTTGTGTTGTGCATGCCGAGCCACCGCCAACCTCGATGTGACATTCTGTGAGAAGTTAGATTAGGCTGAATAAGGGTTCAAGGTGGCGAGACCAAGACTTGATACATGTCGATGTAGTCTCTGACTGTTGATCTTAATCGTATTGGGCTATATAATCTACCTAGCTGGGTTCCTCGAAACGAAAGGAATCAGTGGCTGTGGACTGACTCTTGATGGAAATCGGCTGAAAATTAGTGACAATGGTGCAGATGTATTCGCTCCTTAACATCTTCTAAAGCTTAAACATTTGCACCAACAACTTTTATCATCATGTTGTTTATTCTGTCACACAACTTTATCTACTTTGATCTGAATCGTTTTCTATCCACCTGTTCTTTGTTTACCACTGTGGAGTATGACAACTTAGGCCGATACACTTATGTGCGAGGTTCTGCGTTGATTTCGTCAGTCAGTCAGTCAGTCAGTCAGTCAGTCAGTCAGTCAGTCAGTCAGTCAGTCAGTCAGTCAGTCAGTCAGTCAGTCAGTCAGTCAGTCAGAAGGCTATGGTAAAATTCTTTCATCACAAAATTCAACACTTTTGTGTAGAGTTTAAATATACGGCTTACCTTGGGTAAGAAATTATCAGGTGTATAGGCTTTTTGAAAAAAAAACACGATTGTTTTGAAATGTTTCAGAATGGAGTTTAGTATTCTCTATTTTGTTATACTTTTATGCTATTCATGTTTTTCTAATGGGCTTCACTTTAGAAAACTAGGTTCCATTCTTGAAGCTTATCAAGTTATCAAGTCAGTTATCCAATATTCATTAGTTGATATTGTCTTCATTAATTCTTCGATTACTTTATGAATTGTATATTTGCAAATAAAATGTTTAGTCAGTAGTAGTAAGACATTTTATATCATCTTCAGGGTAGACAGTAGTGATTTATAGAGATTCGTTGTAAGATTTCAAAACTTACCGTTTTGATACTGAAAAGGAACTATGACATGTTGTTTGGTGTAGGTAGTCAACTTCTGATTGGTGGCTCACAAAATTGAAGGTCACTTTTGCCTAAAGAGGTTTAAAAAGTCAAGTAGGCCTCACACAATAGATGCACATTGTCCCTTAGTGTATTTTGTCACTAACTAGTGACTCAATTTTTTATAATTTATCGTATAACTACTTACGTTAGTAAACTAATTTATTGCTTCTTGTCTTTCATTGTTTCTCTATTATACTGAATCACAGGTGGAACTTGATTGGCATATGGTTTATTTAGCACGTGAAGAGGATAGTGATCCGTTTGAGGATGGAATCATTACATGGATGTTAGATCTAAGGAATACTGATTATCGTGTTGGCAAGGTAAAAAAAAAGTTGTTTTTTTCTGTTGTCGATTATTTCAATTGTTTTTCCTTTTTCTACTTTGTTTATCTGCAAATACTACTTTTACAGTTACACATTTTCCATAACTGACGTTTTACGGGGCTTGAATTCAGTTGTATGGGTACTCGACTATCAATTCATTGAGTTACGGGGTTCAAGTCAACTCCATCTATATTTAGTTGAACAAGTAGATAGTTTCACAGTCTCTTTTTGCAGACAGACACATTCACATTTATTCATGTTGCCACAATTTAAAATAGCATGCAAAGAACAAGTAGATAGACGAAGTTGTGTGAGAGAAGAATAAACAATTTGAAGATGACGGTTAGTGCAAATATTCAAACTTTCGAAGCTGTCAAAGGGTGAATACATCCGCGCCATTGTGACTGACTTTTCACTGTGTCACCACAAATTTGTCGCCTCGAAGATCCCAACCACGTATATTATTATGATTTATCCCTTGGGTTCCTAATAGAACATAGGGCTTCAGTAGCACGCCTTCATTATACTCTCTTCTCTTCAATCTTTTTAACCTGGTTCCACGACAACCCAGAAGCTCTCATTTCCTCCTCTCACCATCTCCTCCATGTCACCCTCAGCTGGGACGCCCAACTCATCGTTTCCCATCTGGGTTCTACTCGAGTGACTGGCCTGACGCGTGATGTCCCCAGTCGGCCTTCTCAGTGAATGCCCAATCCATCTCCACTTCCCTCTTCTGTATATTTGTTGGGTGATAGGTTCTTGGTAGGTTCGTTCCCAGAGTTCCTTGTTACTTGTTCTTTCTGGCCATCTGATCTTCACTAACGAGCCAGCGTAGACAGTTGTTGATGAATGTCTGTAGTTTATTCTAAATGTTTTTCCTAATGCGCCAAGTCTCTGAACCATACAGAAGCACTGACTTGATAGACGTTGGTGTTGAAGATCCGGATGTTGTTCCATAGGCTGACCGACCGAAAGCTGCTACCTTGACGTGGTGGTCGGGCTTGCATATCACAATGACCCAACGAGCTATGCTGGTGGAACGCTTGTTCCCTCGAGGTCCTACCATACCAGAAAGGTCTGTTGGGTAGTGGTTAGACGAAAAGCAGTTACCGTTATAGTGTAAATTGCTACACTATGATGGGGGTCTGAGGGCGAAGTCGTACTGCTGCTAGCTGGATGGGGTGTGACAGCAGTAAGGTGTTTCCCTTGGATGACCAGCAGTGCCAAGCTGATGCTGCCTTCTCAGTGGAAGGGGGGGTTAGAAAAGGTCGGCCCCAAAAATAACACACTCCACCACGCCCCACGGTCTGCCGGGCCGGCGGTGTTGGTTCACTTGTCGTTTCCTTTCGCTCATCCGGCCCCAAAAATACAAAATTCAAAATAATCATACTCAAAAGGCTGGGTGTGACAGGCCTCAAGCAGATGTCCGATGGGCTCTGCGGTCACACAAATCTCTTTCAGGTACCTTAAGAAGAAATAGCCTTCCACGGTGTGGGCAGCCGGGAAGTGTCAACCGCCCTCACAACTCTGTCAGCACCCAAGTTTCTTCTGACTGCTATCCTCCTCCTCCATCATTACCTTCTAATCTTCCTTCACGTCTCTTAATTAATGATGCTGCATCATCTTCAATTTCTCCTACCTCTGCAGCCTTCGACAACGATCTGAGTCCACAGAACAGCATCCCTGGTCTCCTTAAACCACGCTCCAAATTACATATTGGAGCCTTCAATGTCCGCACCCTCCGTCAAATTGGCCAACAGGCTTCGTTGGCAAAGACTCTAGCAACTCGGGCATGGATGTGTGCTGTGTTTGTGAGACACGCATACAGGACCCAAGTGTGGTTATTCACCTGACCTCTCCTGACCAATCTGGTGAATCTGCAAAATTCACCCTTCGAGTTTCTGGAGATTCGATAGCTAGCTCTCGTGGTCTTGCAGGTGTAGGTATAGCATTAAGCACCAGGGCAGAAAACTCACTACTAGACTGGATCCCAGTTGATAGTCGCCTCTGCGCTATGAGGCTGAACGGCACAGTGAGAACTAAAAGGAATAGTGAGACTCGCCGTTGTCTCTTTGTAATCTCTGCTTACGCACCCACTGACTGTAGTTCGGATGAAGTGAAGGACGAGTTCTACCATAAACTGTCTAACCTCCTCTCGAAAGCCAAACGTTCGGACGTAGTGGTTGTTGCAGGTGACCTCAACGCACAGGTGGGTAGACTGAGTGAGGCAGAAAGGCACTTAGGTGGCACTTTCGGAATCCCAGCTGAACGTACAGATAACGGTGATCGCCTATTACAACTATGCTCAGATAACCGCCTATTTTTAGCCAGCACAAATTTCAGACATAAAGAAAGGCACTGTCTGACCTGGCGTCCACCGAGCTCGACTCAGCGATGGACACAGATAGACCACATTGCTATTAGTCATCGCTGGAGAGGATCGGTGGAAGACTGCCGCTCCTTCTGGAGTACGTGTTTGGACAGCGATCATGCGTTGGTCCGAGCACGTATATGCCTGCGTCTCAATGGACGTAGAAAAAATTTGGCAACAAAACCACTACGAGTTCTGCTGGACAACGAAAACACCAAAGCCGTGTTCAGTGAGAAGTTGGCTAGGCAGTTATCGGAACAAAAGACTGTCACTCATCCAGAAGAAGCTTGGTGCCATCTTCAGTCTACTGTAAAAGCAGCACTGGAGACTGTAGCCGACTCCAAGATAATGGCTAAAAAGAGCCAGTGGATATCAGCAGCTTCTTCCAAACTAATGGATGCACGTGAATGCATCCCTGCAGGCTCTGAGTACAATGAAGAGCGAGCGCAACTTAAAAATAAACTGACGAAAAGTCTGCGCAACGATCGTGAACAGTGGTGGGCAGCAAAGGCTAAAGAGATGGAAAAGGCAGCGGCGATCGGTAACAGTAGACAGTTATTTAGACTTATTAAGGAGACTGGGGGGAAATGGTCAACAACAGTTAGTGAGGTTATAGCGGAGAAGGACGGATCGGCGATTCACTCGCAGGGAAGGCGACTGGGACGATGGGCAGAACACTTTGAGGAACAGTTTAACTGGCCTCCAGCCACCATTGCGCTGCCCGCTATCCAGTCGGACCCTGAATGGGACATAGAGACAGGTCCCCCAACACTAGAAGAAGTTGAGAAAGCGGTAGGTAGCCTGAAACGGGGAAGGGCAGCAGGACCAGACGGACTACCTGCTGAGGTATACAAGAATGGTGGTAGAGTTCTCTTAGTCAGGCTAACGGAAGTGTTAGCCAGTATATGGGAATCAAATACGATCCCCTCCGACTGGTCTAAGTCACTGATCATCCCAGTCTTCAAGAAAGGCGAGAAGTCCTCTTGTGATAACCACAGAGGAATCAGCCTGACAAACATAGTGTCTAAGATCCTAAGTTCTATAATTCTCCGACGCCTGAGTGGAGCTCGGGAACAGCAAGCCCGAGAAAACCAGGCAGGCTTTAGACCTGGCCGTGGATGTATCGACCAAATATTCACACTGCGCCAGGTCCTGGAACATAGGCATGCTTACAGACGCCCGACAATAGCTGTATTTCTCGACCTGAAGGCGGCATTTGACTCCGTTGATCGAGAAGTCTTATGGCAGTGTCTGTCACTGAAAGGCGTGCCTAGTAAGTACATCACCTTATTGAAAGCTCTCTACTCGAACACTTGTGGGCATGTTAGAGCCTATGGTGAGTTGTCCAGGGAGCTATACTCATCAAGTGGTGTCCGTCAAGGATGCCCACTATCCCCATTCTTATTTAATTTTATCATAGATATTCTTATGGAGGTTTCCCTCTCGTCACCTAATTACAAAGACGTTGACCGATCACAGGTGAATTTTCCTTAGATCTAGAATATGCAGATGACATAGTCCTGTTAGGTGAAGACGCTGACAAGATGCAGAGTCTTCTGAACACTTTGAGTGGGAATTTGAGAATGTTTGGGATGCGATTTTCACCACCCAAATGCAAATTTTTGCTCCAGGACTGGTCTTCAGCGGTACCGCGGTTAACAATAGAGAGTGAAGTGGTTGAGTGTGTTGACCACTTCACTTACCTGGGAAGTAGGATCAGTCCCGGTGGGTTAGTTGCCGATGAGATTTCTGCACGGATACAAAAGGCTCGATTGGCTTTTGCCAATTTGCGCCACCTATGGCGCCGCCGTGATATTCGTTTGTCTATTAAGGGTCGCGTGTACTGCACAGCAGTCCGCTCTGTTCTACTGTATGGCTGTGAAACATGGCCATTGAAAGTGGAGGATACAAAAAGGTTTCAGGTGTTTGACCACCGTTGCCTTCGTAGTATAGGACGTATTCCGTGGTGTCACCATGTGAGTAATGCAGAAGTTAGGTGTAGAGTTTTAGGGAGAAGAGGTAAGTCAGTCGACGAGGTTGTGAACCTTCATCGACTGAGATGGTTGGGACACGTACTACGTATGCCTAGTCACCGATTGCCTCGTCACACAATGTTGGCTGAGGTGGGTTCAGGCTGGAAAAAGGCCCGAGGTGGCCAGACTAAAACATGGCACCAATGTATGAAGTCTCTGACTGTTGGTTTAAGCCATGTAGGACGATGCAGACTAGGTGGTTGGGGTCCACGGGACAAGAGGAACCAGTGGTTGGAGACCCTAGGTGATATGGCTCAGAACCGAAGTCAGTGGCGCAGATGTATACACACATTATCCTCATCTTAACAACGCTATACCGAATCTCACTATTTTGTCACTCCTCTTTCCTTTCTTCTCATACTTTATATTTCTTTTGACTGCATTCACTTATCTTCATCCTTCACCTCACTACCTTTTTACTTGATGTGCTGATATGAGGTGTGGCAACTCGGACCGTTACGCAGTAATGCCTGGTCCTATGTTGATAATGATGATGATATGCTGAGTGCAGTAGATCTCCACACTAGTTTCAACTTAGTGAACGCCTGTCTTGCATTTCATATCCTGGCTGGTTTTGACATCCTCGTCTGTGCTTGTGCCACCGCCTGTAGTTGAAACAGTGCTGCTTAGATAGATGAAAGAGGCTACTTCCTTTAAGTTTCTCCCGTTGATGGTGATTGGAGCTTGTTGCTGTTGGTGTTGGTTGGGTATCATCATCACCTCTGTGTTCTCTGCGTTCAATTGAAGTCCCATCTTCGCTGCTCTGCCTTTTCTGTCAACTTGTTAGTTTTTGCCTGTAGATCTTCAAGTTTGTGTGACAGACATAAATCATTGGCGAAATCCAAACCTTCCAGGTTCTTTTCGTTGGTCCAGCCGGCGTATCCCTCTCTTCTCGCTCCTCACTGTTTGTTGCATGACCCAGTCCACTACAATCAGGAATATCATCGGTGATAGCAGACAGCCTTGTTTTACTCCTGTCTTCACTTCAAGGGCATTACTGAACTTTCCAACCATGTAGTCTACATTTTCTTACGTGACTGAAAGCACCGGTCAGAGACTTCATTCACTAGTGCCCCTTTATTCACTAAGCATGATGTACATAGTTATTGAGCTACACTGTATAAAGCCCGGATCTTTCACTTATCCACTTGAATATATGTAATGTGTTTACTTCAACATTGTAATGTGCTTCTGTTCTTTATTGAAAAGAAATCGGTACTTTCATTGGGTCTTTAAGTTCATATTGTAAGCAATGGGTATAGTTTGTTTACAGCCTAAATGAAGTTGTATTCTGTACCGTAATGTCCTAATGATAACAGTCTAGGGGAGAATGCAGAAGCGGATTTATTATTCGTCCTTACAACCAGTCACATGGTTAAACTAGTTAATATCTTAAGCTTAAAAAACGAAATATTTTTTAAAAGAATTTCTGTTTCTCAATCGGTTGTGGCTAGCAGGAGAATCTAGGATGCGATGCGTACGACGTTCAAATTTTGCTGAGAACAACATTCTGCACTAGGGCACATGTATATACAGCCGACTAGTGAGTCCCAAATAGGACGAAATGCGCGTCAATCTGGATTCCTCTGCTAGCCATAACCAACCAAATTATCATAATTAACATTCAGGCAATATTAAGGCATCCACATAGAAACCCATATGTCAATAGAGGTCGAACAATTCGGTCCAATAAAATAACGGGGAATTACAAGCATGTCCATAAATAGTAATAACTTCGGTTACATTCAGTAGTTTTCCCTGCAGATGAAAATTTTTCTTATGTAAAAAAAAGGTGAATAGAGCTACAAGGATCATAGTGGAGTATTTCTTTTGTATATAAAGATCAAATTAGACCTGATGAGTCACCATTGTCTCCGTTTTGCACAGGTTATCATTTTAAATTGAGTAGATGTCGGAATCCACCTAACTTATGATGACTTACGTCTTCAGCACATATCCCTCAGAAAAAAGAGGCTTTCTAAATCTTCAAAAAGGCAATGCTTTCCCGCTGAACTGTGGATTGTCTTCTGCGATCAAGAATCGATATGTGGATGCGTCAAGTACAAGTTACCACTATGAACCATTTGTTTTTATCGTCAGGTTTATTTAATTTTGAGCAAGCAGTCATATAGATCGTACAGAGCTTGAGCTTTCTGAGCATACTTCAGTGCATGTTTAGTTCTGAAAAAGAGATATGCCACAGCTGCCTCTTGCAGTTTCAAAACCTTTGGACGACGGATACACTAGTTAAGTTTGTTCTGAAGATGTTGTCTAGAACCACAATAAAAGCTCCACTATTGAACCATCTAGCTCGGAGAAAACAATCCCATCAAAACATTGGTGATTCATTTCTCTTCGTCCTGTAAAACTGCTGTTAGACATGGCCGTTAAAAGTAGAAACACATGATGAGTCCGAAGTGGGACGAAACACGCATACTGGATTCCTCTGCTAGCCCACACCCAAGTAGGTTATCAAGATATGAAACGACTGCAACTTTTTGGCTGTAAGTGTCTTTGTAGCATTGCTCGCGTATAATGGAACCACCATTGTACTAGATAAAGAAGGAAAGGTGGTCGTTGGGGTTTTGAATCTTCAGAGATTAGGGTGGTCAAGTCAAAACGTATCATTAGTCCTTGAGGTCTGTAACTGTTGTTCTGAGGTATGTCGGGAGGTGTAAACTATTGGGTTGGCATCCCTTGGACGATAAGAAGCAATAATGACATGGCTGAAGATGGTGCAGATGCATCCACTCGTTGTTTGCGTGCTACTCTGAAGTGCGGCGACTTGAATTGATGCAATTGTATGCGAGGTTGTACGTTGATTTTGCTTGTCAGTCTGTTGTGTCCTAATTTTTTATTGATCTGTTAACCTTGATTATAGTCCTCATCTCTTTCTTCACCTTCTTTTAATTTATGATGCGGACCTCATGGAATATTATGTACTCGGTTTTCATTATCCGCTTTCATTAAGTGATACTGTTGAAAGGGGAACTTTGGCATCACTCAATAGAATTACTTTTCTTTCATATATGGTACATGTAGTTTTAGTTGAGTCGTTTACCTATGAACTATGAGCATGTTTAACGTTGATTCTCTTCAATGCAAGTTTTGTTACATTTCATCCTGCCATTTGGGGGTCAAGTTTGTTTACAAGTTATACACCATCCTTGTTCTTATGGAGACGGGGGTTGGGTTTCGAAGTTTAATTCCTAAGGTGTTTTTTAAAGGGAGGTGAAGTTTCACTCTAACCTGAGACTGTGTATTCATCCGTAGGATGTGTAGTTTTTTCATTCTGAAATATTTTCAGGGGTTTAGTTCGATTCTAAAAATCTAAAGTTTCGTATAGTCACAATCATTCAATGTTACACACCAACAAATAATACAGATCAAGAGAAGAAGGAGGAATTTTACAGACAACCG